TTAATATATTAATAAGCTTTGAAAGAATTTAAAGGGCTTAGAATTTCTAGAAAATATTTCTAATGACTATCTTGAATTTGCAGTTCATTAATTTTTCTCCTTCAACATTCTTTATGCTTCAAGCACATCTCATTTCCAAGACTGTATGTATGCATCTCTGCTGTTTTATTCCATACCATCTGAGAAATATATATTCAGTGAATGGACACTTGAATTTATAGTATTTGCTTAAGAATTTGATGTCACATTATCATCTCAAATCACAGTTCCATTTGGTACTCTGTAGAAGAAATTATTTCTCAACTGTAACATATGATTTTGAAATCTATAATCATTACATTAAATGGTGGGAATGTGTTGTGTTCAGTGTGTTTTTATCAGATAACACCCTTACCCGATCATAAAATTACTATCTTACCGAGGAGGTGCTTCCATTGAAATATAGAGATTATTTTAAAGATTCCTTTTCAAGTTTAGAAAGTGCAAATTCTATAAAGGTAATAACATTAAATCATGAACATCTTGTGGAAATAAGTTTACTGAGACTGTACCTTTGAATCAAGTCTAGGGTACCATGAAGATATGAAAGAACTGGAAGCAAAGAAGGATTGAAGTAGAGAATAAAAAGGGTTAACAAAGGAAAATGAGATATAAAAACTTATAGTGCAGGATGGCTTATTATAAAATTTATTCTTTAATTGAGATAGCAGAATATATCACTGTATCATATAAATGAATGCAGTAAATACAGCAATAGAAAGGATAAACTGGTGATATATTGAGTCATTTGAAAAGTCATAACACATTTGCATAGAAAAACAAAAACATGTCATGAATTTTCTGATGACCAACATATGAGATGCATAAGGAGCTTAAAAAATTGGAAAAAATAAGCTAGAAACAAAAGAAAACTTTGATATTTTGCTCATATATAGACCAAAAAAAGGTGAAAATAGTCTATAGTGATAGAGGTCAGAAATTTATGATTAACTAAGGAGTTAATTATAACTTCCTAACTGATTGAAAGAATGCTCACCTGTAATACTCTACACTTATATTTCTCTGCATTTAATATATCTCTCTATAGATTTATATCTATGTAAATGTCTATTTTTGTGAGAGATGTGTGCACTCACTGGAGAGATAGCGAGAGACAGAGAGACAGAAAGCAAGAAATTACCCCACCCAGGGGGGATAGCCATGCTGCAATTCCTTCTTCATTCTCCTCTAGAGATTTTGGGCACACATGCACATGCACCCAGCATGAGTTTCAATCTGCTGGATCCTGGATTTGAACTGTGGTCATTTACATGGGAGTCCAGTGACATAACCCTATGCCAACTGCTGATACCCCAATGTCTACCCATTTATGCAAGTAATTTATCTTAGACACCCTGAAACCAAGGATGGCAGACATTAAGATAATTTCTGTTGTTTTCTACCTCCTATCTTGTCCTTGTGTAATTCCCTCCTCAAGTGTGGACTGAACCTAGTGACTTGTTTTTAGTGAATAGAATACAACAAATCACTCCCATGATTAGACGACATAAGACCTAAGACCATGACTTCTTTCTTACTAGCAGACTTGCTTTCTTGCTGCCTTTGAGAGGAGAAACTGACCTTTTGGAGAGGAACATTAAACAAAGAGCTGAGGACTCCTACTATTTGCAGGGATTCCCCACTGTCTGGCCCGGTGCCTAACTTCTAGCCCCTTCTAGCCCTCTGCGGGGGAGGGCCTAAATGTTTTTTTTTTTGTTTTTTGGAGAGATTTTGCTATAGGGCGCGTGCGCTCGCCAGACAGACAGAGAGAGACATAGAGACAGAAAGCGAGAAATCACCCCCCAGGGGGGATGGTCACGCCGCAATCCCTTCTCCTCCATTCTCCTCTCGGGATCTTGGGCACGCAGGCACACGCGCCCGGCGTGAGTTTTAAGCCACCGGGTCCAGGACGCGAACCACGATCGACTACGTGGGACTCCAGTGACATAGCCATTACGCTAACTGCTGGTTCCCTGGATAAATGTTGTTTTAAGATGGCAAATGTTGGGGCAATTTGTTATGTAACAAGAGATGATACACCAAGCAAAGCATGTCTATGGTGCAAATTAACTCATAAGACACCAATTCTAGATCATAACAAAGTATTTCATGATATGCAATAGTTCTTTGAAGCTAATTTTTTTCCTGCCACAATGTTCTGATTATTAGAGGTGGGTGTGCCAATAGTTAAGTGTGGGGTTTGCCTCAGACTGAGGGGTTTCCCAGGAGTGAAATTTTCAGTTTCAAAATTAGGACAGTTTGTCACTATGTACTGAACACAAAATAATTTTAACTGTATATTTTGTTTTTAATAGCAAAACAGGTGCTTAATATTTGTTATACAAATCAATATTCCTAATATTTGTGAAATAAATACTGCTTATATAAACTTAAAATTCAAGAAAAGGAGGCTGTAAGGATTCTTTTCTCTTTGTTCTCTTTTCTTCTTTTTCTCTCTCTATAAAACCAATATGTTAAAAATCAATTATTATATTTCAATAAAATTAAGTTTTGGGGCCCTATTTTAGAGGGTCTAAGTACACTGCTGTTAGAGGAAGAGAGAGAGAGTAAAAGAAAGAGAGCACCCCAAGAAGGTATTAAAAATACCACCCACTCCTAGTTTCAGTATACCTTGGATCATGGTAACACATATGTCCAGGGTACTAAGGAAGGTCTCTGGCTGCAAATTGGAAACTTTTTCAAGTGGGCCTGCCTCATAGGGCATCATATTTTACTCCTGTGCCACCCTCAATCTCCCAGATCACCCTCTTTTAAGGTCACGCAAACACACACACACACACACACACACACACACTATATGCCTATTTTTAATTCCACATACCTCTTTATTACATTTATAAGTATTACATATATACTCTTAAAAACTTATTATTTATAATTTATTGTACTGTATGCTTATGTTTAAAAAAACAGGTAAATTATGAGTTAATTTCAAATTAATTTTAACCCTTTATACACAATGTGATTTCATCTACTCATTTAAAGAGTAGTGCAAATTATTGCATACCTATGGAAGCTGATGAATACCTGGGAGAGCTACTCTTAATTAGCCTAAGAATGACTAGAAATATTGGGGAGAATCAACTCATGGGTGTCTCTTAAACTGTGAGAAATCTTGGTTTTGCTTAGAAAACAAATTCAAAAGTGAGCCTTTGGGGGAGAGTGAAAGCAGGTTTATTAAGGAAAGTCTACAGAGAGAGGACTATGCCATAGGTGGAACAATTCCATAAGAGATGGATCAACAATTTCACTCCTTCCTCTAAGAGGAAAGGGTAGAACTATTACCCAAAAGGAAAGATAGAAGGTCTACCTCATAGGCTGGGCAGCTCCAAACTTTGGTGAGTATCTTAATGCTAAACTGAGTGAGGGGCAGTTTTTTCATGACTTTTCCAGGAAAGGGACAGAGGCTATACTAAAACCACTGTTCTTTCCATTTTCTGGTCATGGCCATGGTTGTTCAAACTCTCATGGCACAGGTAGGAATGTTATCTAGCACGCTAATATCACATAATGAGGGTATAAAGAGTTTGAAGGTGAGGCATTGGTCCTTCCAGACACCATTTTCATTGCAACTGGTACAGACCCAGTCTCTCAGACAATTGTCTGCAGGTTTTAGGTGTGTGAATGTTCCTCAGTTCAGTTTGAGATTAAAAAGCCGAGAGATAATATCCTGGTTATGGGGGTCATAAATTTCTTTATCTAACTCTGCTTAGGTTTTCAGTTTCTGCAATGTCAAAAACCACTACTGAAGTAACTGAAAGTACTTGGAGGCAGCACTTGCTTAGGTGCCCAAATTAAAACAATTATTCAAACAAACATATCACAGAGACCTCTTACTTTTACTCAGTGAGATAGGACATAAAAACTCTAAAATTATAGTTAGGCTATGTATTCATATGGAATTACAAAACGGCTAAGTTTTTTTCTTTTTTCTTTTTTTTGAAGAGGTTTTTGCTATAGGGCATGTGCGCTTGCCAGCAATCCCCTCTCCTCCATTCTCCTTTCAGGATCTTGGGCATGCACGCACACGTACCCGGCGTGAGTTTTAAGCCACCGCGTCCCGGACGCGAACCAGGGTCGACTACATGAGAGTCCAGAGACATAGCCATTACGCTAACTGCTGGTCCCCAAAATGGCTAAGTTTTGAGATGGGGGCAGCAGAGGCTCAGTGACTGACCTACGCAGAATGACCTGGACCAAAAATTAAGGCTTTTCAAGGCCCCATCACATTCCAGGAAGAGGATAACGGTTTTTATAGCCCAACACTTCTAGACAAAGAATCTCCTGATCTCCATACCCACTCCAAAATGAAGAGAATAACTGGACCCACCCAGCACATACTCCTCCCCACCAGGAGGGAAATGCATACACATGCCCCACCTAGAACAAGTTCAGACAAAGCCTTTTCTGACCCAAATAAAAACCCCTCACCACATTTCTTTCTTGGCAACCCATTTTCCAGAACCTCTCCAGGGAGGCTCATCCAATGACTGTCTTCTTGGGAGCTGATTTTCCTTCCCTCTCCTTTAATAAACTCCCCAATTCGTCATACCTACTCTGTGTCCATGACTAACTCTCCCTAAGTGTGGGACAAGAACTCACATCTCATTGTGAGTGTGGGCCCAATGGCATCCCTGAGCTCCCATGTTCCTGCGTCATCAGGAGGCAAAATTCTTCCTAACTTTCTAGCAACAGATTCAGTGATTTAGGAAGACTAAAAGGGAGATACGGAAAGGGGCTCTTTTGGGTAAAAGTTTCCTACCCAAAATAATTCGGTGGAGGCACATAGGAGGCAGGGCCCTCTCGGTCTCCACAACGACACAGAATTAGCAGATAAATTCAGAGGCAGAGGGCCAAAGGCCTTATCCATGCGATGTGGGAAATAAAATCAAGACTGAAACTGTGAGACCGAAAAGCCAGAGTGGTGGCTGTAAAACTACCTGGCATTCAGTATCTGATGCAATCAGGGTCCGCAGGAACCATGTCTTAACTCAAGGCCAGGCCAAACAGGAAGGCGTCTCTCAGCACAGGCGTCCTGGACCCGGAGTCCTCCGGCCCAGTGTCCTGGACGTGAGAGACTCTGGATCAGTGTCCCGGATGTGGTGTACCGCGCCCAGTGTCCCGGATGTGCTGTATTGGGCTCCGCCCAGCGTGGGCTCACAGCTAACAAAGCCTCTTCACGTGCATGGGACGGCGTCTCAGCAGGAGCTCCCTACCAACGTCCCAGATGTGGTGTTATGGAGGACTGAGTGACCTCGGGTAGGCCTCGGAGCTAGCTGAACCACTTCCCTTCACAGACTTGAGAGGACCGGAAAGGTAACAGAGAAAGAGACGGAAGGGAAGATTCCCTCGCGGACTCACCCGTCCTCGCAGCCGCTTAGTACTGCGCAGATTCCACTGGGGTCGAGTTGGAGACTCCCCAGCATCCCTTCATGGTAACCCAGAAAGATACTGGGGAGACAGCCAGAAATTGTCTCTCCGGGCTTTGCGGTCCTTGGCTTTCACACAGGACAGAATCCCACAGCGAGCCTCTGAGGGTGGGCGAAAGTGGGTTTATTGAATGTAGACCAGACCGTGCCACAGGGGAGCAGCCCCGTGACAGGAGACGGTGAACAGTTCCATTCCTTTCTCCAAGAGGAAGGATAGAAAGGCTACCTCCCAGGAAGGGTAGTCCTGAACTGTGGGTGTCTAGCTTACATGGTTGGCTTAATGCCAGGCTAAGAGTGTGTGTGTGTGGGGGGGGGGCAGTTTATTAATATCTTTTCTAGAAAGGGTCTGTAGTTTTCCTGGACCAACTGCTTCTTCCATTTTCTGGCAGTATTAAGATAGTTCCAACCATTGCCATGGTTATCCCAAACTCTCATGGTGCGTGTGGGAGTGTCATCTAGCGTGCTCATACCATGCAGGAGCGTATGCTGAGTCTTAAGGTTAAGCAGTGTCTTCCAGGGTCCCTCTTGGTCGCAAGGTCCAGTCAGGGTTCAGGCCCAGTCTCTTAGCTACTTCTTTTCTGTCAGGTTTTAAGTGTTTGGAATGTCCCTCACCTCAACGTGAATGTCCCTTGCCTCAATTCCCTCCTGTCTCATAAATGTGGAAATAGACTCTACCGGCACAGAGTGATTTAGATTATATTCAGCCTAGTTTTCTTAAATTGTTTATCCTATTAAGCTGAAGATTATCTGTTATTTTAGTTTTACATCAATACCTTGGGGTGTAGACTCAGAAAATTAGAAAACCCTATTTACATGTGATTAGATATTTGGTGGAAAATAACACACATTTAGTCTTAGTATCCATGTGCCCATTACTACAGATAAATTAATCATACATTACCTTTTCATACTATAGAATATAATAAAGCTAGAAAATAAGACCAGTGCATTTTGCTGAGGAAACATTTGAAGTATAGGGGGCTTCTTTTACTAGAGGATTAGTTGAGCAGCACCATGAACCACACTAGCCTGGGAACTAGTGTGGATGGTATATTTCAAGGGAAAAACAATATTGAATAGAAAAATAAGCTGCTTTCGTTATACTGTAGCAGCTGAATTTTTTTATTTTTTTATTTTTTTTGGAGAGGTTTTTGCTATAGGGCACGTGTGCTCGCCATACAGACAGAGACAGAGCGATAGAAAGCGAGAAATCACCCCCTAGGGGGGATGGCCATGCTGCAATCCCTTCTCCTCCATTCTCCTCTTGGGATCTTGGGCACGCACGCACATGTGCCTGGCGTGAGTTTAAGCCACCGGGTCCGGGACGCGAACCGGGGTCGACCACGTGGGAGTCCAGCGATATAGCTATTACGCTAACTGCTGGTCCCCTGAATTTTAAGTTTTGATATAATTTTCCTCCATTTATTTCTCCTGTTAACATTGGATTAATTTATGCACCAGTGGTAAAACAGAAATGTAGTCTTGAATGCCTATATAGAAAGGTTCACAAGTATGGGTTGAGATCTCTTCAGATACAATCTAATATTTCAACACATCTTGGTAACACTTTGTAAATATGCATACAACCTCTCACTTTTTTCTTTTAAAGAAACGGCACATTCTGAGATCTTTATGGCAATATGGTGAAAGAAAATCATTTCTCTATCTGGACTAAATTTTCGTAACCCTGGTGTGATCACAGTTAACATTTTAAAAATAGGTTACAATTCCTTGAAGCTGAAGAAATTATAATAACAAAGGAAACATGACAGTTGTATCCTGGCAGGAGATAAAATAACACATTATAACAATCTCCAGTAAAAGCTTTTGAGTAACTTCCTTGACAAATAGTAGTACTTAGCTGTACCTGGTATGAAGACATCTGCAGTCTCACATTTGTCCTGCTTTATGGAAGGCAAATTACCACTGTATCATTAAAGAAGCAGTGGAGGACATTGTTTAACTGTGCAGGGTCTGGATCACTGCCTGATTTCAATGTCACTGCCAGATCTGTCACTGATTAGCCTTGTGATCTTGGTCAAGTAACTCATCTCTCAATTTCCTTAGCTGTCGAAAGAATCACAACCATTGCTAAAATTCTTTTTTTAAATTATCATCATAATCTTCTTTATATTACATTGGATTACATATAACTTTAAAGTGTATTACATTGCTTTTTCAAAAGGGAATGACTTGCATGGCAGTCAATACAGAGATATTAATCTCCCCACTTCATCATTCAATATCTTTTCAGTGTTTTTCCCAATCATTATTATTATTATTCTAATTATTTTTTTAAACAGTCAATCATTATTTCTCATTTTGCTTGTAAAAGACTTCACCCATCATGAAATACTTCTCAGACAAATCCAGTTGAGAATACTATACATGTCATCAACAGGTAATAAGCCATATCTGTTTCCCACTAACGTCCTGCCTCTCTATTTGTTCTCTTGTTATCTTTCTCTTTCCTCTTTTCTTCACCCCACTTCCATTCCACACTGTCTTATTCTCATTAAGTACTTACACGGCTTTTATGTCCTCCAATATTTCGCTCTCTACCATAGAGCGCGGATAGTCGATATATGTTAAGTAGATATATACAATATCTTTCTTTCATAGCCTGGCTTACTTCACTCAGCAATAGATCCTCCATATCTAACCACTTTCTATCAAATGCCAGGGTCTTGTTATTTTTTATGGCTGAGTAGTATTCCATAGAGTATATACCACACTTTTCCAATCCATTCATCAGTTTGTGGACGTTTAGGTTGGTTTCATGTCTTGGCAATTGTGAATAATGCTGCAATAAACATGGATGTGCAAGCACTTTTCTGACTGAGCGTTCT